GGAAAGATCCATGCCTTCGGACAATACTATTTTTCTTGCGTGAGTTCTTGCGTTCTTGCATTCACTTTCGACTCCAACAGACACCTAAATGAAAACGGAGCCCCTCAAGCAGTGACATCATGAGTCTCCATAGCAACTTAAACTCCACCCATTTCAAAACGGAACTTACCTGTAGGACTACCAATATCTCAGACAACACATTGTCTGAGATAACACAGCTCTATTTCTCTCTCTCTCCCAGCTCTATTGTTTTGGCTATAAAGCCAGGTGACCACCATCTTTTGTCTCCTCTGAACCAATGCAAACACAAACAGAGGCCAGGTGAACCAAAGGTCTACTGAGGTTCTACTGCTCCTTCCCCCATACCTTCTCCTCCTCGCCCTGGTTGCCCCAAGGGTGACACAGCAACCAACATTATTAATTGTCTAAGGACTCTCAGTGTGTGTCCCAAATGGTACCCTATTCCCTTTATAGTGCACTACTTTTGACCAGGGCCGGCTCTGGTCAAAAGTAGTGAACTATATAGGGAACAGGGTCTCATTTCAAATCAAATCAAATCAAATGTTATTGGTCACATACACGTGTTTAGCAGATGTTATTGTGGGTGTAGCGAAATGCTTGTGCCTCTAGCTCCGACATTGCAGTAATATCTAACAATTTCACAACTTATACCTAATACACACAAATAGTAAGGAATGCACTAAGAATATATACATATATGGACGAGCGACGTCACAGCGGCATGGACTAAAATACAGTAGAATAGTATAGAATACAGTATATACATATGAGATGAGTGTATATGCAAGATATGTAAACATTATTGATATGTAAACAACATTTGGGACGCAACCTCACTTTAACAATCTTTACTCTATACTTAAATCACACTGTTCTTACCGCGTGTGTAAATAAATGATTCTTATGATGAATCAATGGTTATTTATTGGTCATTATTATTAAGGAATGGCCAACGTAATAAGCAGCTAGTGGTAGCTAGATTGTGAAATAATGAATGTGGAAATCTTAGTCCTGTACTAAAAAGCTATTTAAATGGAGTCCAAGACTAGGTTTAATCTGTGTCCGGGAAACCGGCCCTGTATGTGTCCAGCTCTAATTCACCTCACTGGAAAGGAGACAAATGTTTACCACTTCTGCACCAGACAAAATAACATCTTAGAGCAGTCTAAAGAGAAAAATAAATGTGACAACTTGATTTATGGAATGGATTTTAACCTATGGCAAAACAGGGAGAAATAGTTTTGCAATTGGACTGTCATCTAAACCAAATAAGAAAAATACCAAATTACTTAACACTCAAGGGGCTCTATTTTTGTGATTTTTGTGCCTATGAACCTCGTATTTAGAAACATAAAAAAAAAAATGTTTTTTTCCCATTTCGTTTCATTTGATTAAAAACCAAGCATACCCTCCCTACTCTCAATTAAGGCTTTTTTTGTCCTGCAAAAAAATAAAATAAACTTAATCACCAAAGCATTATTAAAATATCAAGTTTGGGAGCAGCAACACAGTGATCAGACATCCCCTTTTTATCTATGTAGGCTATTACATTATTAGCCAGCTCCTGTTATTATTTTGGATGTGCGTAAAAACCCCTCCATGTAGGCTATATGCCCATCATGGAACAAGAGATGAGATGATCCAATGACACGTATTTAAGTTATTTTCCTGTAACAATTGTTTGTTTTTCGTTTCGTCTGATTAAAGAACAAGCCCTTATAGGCTACCCTTGACCTACTATAATGAAAGCTGGTTCAACAGCAATGTGTCTGGGTTCTTTCTTATCCTGGCCATGCATTAGCTAAGTAGTCTATCCATAAAAGGTTTCTAAATAGTATACCCGTGAGGCTTTTGCCGTCATACTTTTGCATTATTCCCAATTCACATATGCCTACCTGCAGTGCATAGGCTACTCCATTCGGCTTGCATCGATCCCCATTTTGCCTCTTGTCCAGTTACTAAAGACATGCTCCTCCAAACATATTTGAATTATTCAGTCCTATAACGCAATATCAAAGGTAGGCTATATCTTGCTTATTGAGAATGTGCCTCACACATACAATACAATTTACGGGAGCCTAGTATTTTTTATTTGAGAAGTGCAATGTGTAAAGGCTTATTACAACACTGTTGACTGTCAACATTCCAAACATATTGAGCAAACACTGGATGTTTTCTTTTTTACTGTTGCTATTATTTGTTAATGTAGCCTATGCTATTTAATAAACTGTATCAATCCACAATGGACTTGGAAGAGAATATTCCGTGCCCCCAGCCGAATTGGAGTTCATGACAATGCAAAGACCATCAATGCCAGCAACAGTGTGTGAAAACCTTGTGAAGACTTACAGAAAACATTTGACCTGTGTCATTGCCAACAAAGGGTATATAACAAAGTATTGAGAAACTTTTGTTATTGACCAAATACTTATTTTCCACCATAATTTGCAAATAAATTCATTAAAAATCCTACAATGTGATTTTCTGGATTTTTTTTCTCTCTCAATTTGTCTGTCATAGTTTACGTGTACCTATGATGAAAATTACAGGGCTCTCTCATCTTTTTAAGTGGGAGAACTTGCACAATTGGTGGCTGACTAAATACTTTTTTCCCCCACTGTACATACACCTTAGCCAAATAGAGTTAAACTCCGTTTTTCACAATTCCTGACATTTAATCCTAGTAAAAATTCCCTGTTTTAGGTCAGTTAGGATTACCACTTTATTTTAAGAATGTGAAATGTCAGAATAATAGTAGAGAGAATGATTTATTTCAGCTTGTATTTCTTTCATCACATTCCCAGTGGGTCAGAAGTTTACATACACTCAATTAGTATTTGGTAGCAATGCCTTTAAATTGTTTAACTTGGGTCAAACATTTCGGGTAGCCTTCCACAAGCTTTCCACAATAAGTCAGGAGGCCCATTCCTCCTGACAGAGCTGGTGTAACTGAGTCAAGTTTGTAGGCCTCCTTGCTCGCACACGCTTTTTCAGTTCTGCCCACACATTTTCTATAGGATTGAGGTCAGGGCTTTGTGATGGCCACTCCAATACCTTGACTTTGTTGTCCTTAAGCCATTTTGCGACAACTTTGGAAGTATGCTTGGGGTCATTGTCCATTTGGAAGACCCATTTGCGACCAAGCTTTAACTTCCTGACTAATGTCTTGAGATGTTGCTTCAATATATCCACATAATTTTCCTTCCTCATGATGCCATCTATTTTGTGAAGTTTTTCCTCCAAACATAACGATGGTCATTATGGCCAAACAGTTCTATTTTTGTTTCATCAGACCAGAGGACGTTTCTCCAAAAAGTACGATCTTTGTCCCCATGTGCAGTTGCAAACCGTAGTCTGTCTTTTTTCCTTGCTGAGCAGTCTTTCAGGTTATGTCGATATAGGACTCGTTTTACTGTGGATATACATGTAGATACCTTTGTACCTGTTTCCTCCAGCATCTTCACATGGTCCTTTGCTGTTGTTCTGGGATTGATTTACACTTTTCGCACCAAAGTACGTTCATCTCTAGGAGACAGAACGCGTCTCCTTCCTGAGCGGTATGACGGCTGCGTGGTCCCATGGTGTTTATACTTGCGTCCTATTGTTTGTACAGATGAACGTGGTACCTTCAGGCGTTTGGAAATTGCTCCCAAGGATGAACCAGACTTGTGGATGTCTACAATTATGTTTCTGAGGTCTTGGCTGATTTCTTTTGATTTTCCCATGATGTCAAGCAAAGAGGCACTGAGTTTGAAGGTAGGCCTTGAAATACATCCACAGGTACACCTCCAATTGACTCAAATTATGTCAATTAGCCTATCAGAAGCTTGTAAAGCCATGACATCATTTTCTGGAATTTTCCAAGCTGTTTAAAGGCACAGTCAACTTAGTGTATGTAAACTTCTGACCCACTGGAATTGTGATACAGTGAATTATAAGTGAAATAATCTGTCTGTAAACAATTGTTTTTAAAATTACTTGTGTCATGCACAAAGTAGATGTCCTAACCGACTTGCCAAAACTATAGTTTGTTAACAAGAAATTTGTGGAGTGGTTGAAAAACTAGTTTTAATGACAACAACCTAAGTGTATGTAAACTTCCGACTTCAACTGTACATGATGAGATTATTATTATGGATAAGAGCGATACTATTTTTATTTGTCAAATGGCAGCCATCATGTCACCAGAATAAGACCCTCAACATTTATTGGAAAGGAGCATCAAGCCCATCACCGTGCACTTTCACCACCCTGTGAAGTTCATCATTCATAACTTATTAAACTGTATGTTTTCCTGAGTCGTAGTGGGAGGATCACACGTCATTGTGTGACTCCTAGTTTACTTCGATATGATGGTTATTATATCAATATTTCAGCATAAAGGCGTTTCCACCGGCATTTCTCGCATAATTAATTTTACAGACACAAAAAGATCCCACCTTGTCTACCGTATTTTGTTTTGTCGACATTAGGAAAGTTTACCGACAAATTTGCTGTTTCCATCATGCCTGTCTTTACATTTTTTATCCGACATGTACTTTACCCGCATAAACAGGTTGGATGGAAGCCTGGTTCATGAGGCAGATTATAAAAGCCAGTAACACCCCTGGAAACCTTCTGACAAAAGTAGAGCATGTTGAGTGAACAAAGCCCACAGAGAAACATCTCACATTATTGCAGAGTGATTCAAGCTCCCGTAGACCAAGGAAGTTATAAACTTAAGAGTGTTGTGATGATGACTGAAGATATACAGTATGATGATATTGTGACATGATGCTTGGAGAGGCCATGTTGTCCACTGTCTCAAGGATAGGAAAAATGCCACAATATATCCAAGGTGAAAGGACAGTGAAAGACTGACAGGAAAGGTAGGAGGAGAGGGTGTAATATAATAGCAGTGAGTCGGATTCAAACCACTAGACCAAACCAGTAGACCACGTAAGTAAAAATATGTAATGAAGTTGTCCACTGTCACTAACCTGTTCGTCACTAACCTGTTCCCTGAGCCTCTCCTGGTGGCCCATGATGGCCGAGGCATGGTGAGGGTACTTCTGCTTCAGGTGCTCCAGGAAGGCTTCCCTCTTCTTGTCCATGTCTGAGGGCTGCATGGCCAGGATCTCTTGTGAGCTGCGTGCCCCCCCTAACGTGTGCCTGCGGGGGACGGTGCGGCTGCCGTTGCCTTTGGGGTCCTGAGCCCGGGTGGGGGTCCCATTCGGGGGGCCCTGCCTGCTGCTCAGCTGCTCGGAGTCCTCAGGGGAGGTCACCTTCAGGTTGCTTTTGGTTTGCTCTGGAGAGAGTGGGAAAGGGTGTGGGTCAATATACAGGTACAGGATCACTATTCCATTGGTGTGTGCAGGGTTATTCCTTGCACAAAAAGGGACTTTAGGTGGTGGGTGTGGCAGTGGGATTTACTACACATTAAAAACACAGTGTGTGTGTGTGTGTGTGTCCTTAGGTGCATAGACAAACTTTGAAGGCATACAAATGACTATAAAACTATAGTCTGAGTCAGAGACCTAACCACAAACACCAGTGGACCAGCCAGACTGGGAAAGATCCAGGCTCCGTGCTCTAACTTAATTACTACATAATCATAATTACATTTTCCAAACCAAAAGGGAAAGAGACCAGGGAAAAGGGAATGGGTGCCGGTACACACAACCTGCAAAAAAACAGTATCAGGAGACTACTGCATGATCCCACTGTAGCCATTGAGACATTATGGCTATTATGAAATGGCAGTCTAGACATAAAATAATGCATCTTCAGATCAGACCTGGGTTCAAATACTATTTGAAATCATGTCAAATGCTTTATCTGGGCTTGATTGAGCTTGCCTGGGGCAATGGAACCAATAGAATAGTTTAAAAACGACAAACCCCATTTGTCACTCCAGGCAGGCTAAAGTAAACGCTAAAAGTATTGGAAATATTTGAAATAGTATTTGAACCCAGGTCTACCAGAGATACTGGAGCTAAATCGAACACACCTACTGTATCTAAACCATGGACTGGATGATGTGCTCTATTCAAGTTTAAAATGACCCCGTGACATCACAGGGTAATCTCTGCTGTCATTTATCTATTGTGCAGGTTATTTGACTGATTCTGGTATTTTTACTGTAAGGAATAAGGATAACTGTACAGACAAAAAAACAAGTTTATTAAGGGGTGTTTTCGCAGAAGATTCACCCTCGGGCGATCCTTTCAAAATGAAGCTGAACGGACATGTATTGACATAACCAAGGGAGAGCAGTGATCTTGTTTAGTATACTCAGTTCTATTTCCGAGGCTCCAACTGAAAAAAGCATCAGTTCTATACTGATTGATAGTTCCTAAAAAAGTGTATGTTATATAATAATTTATCTGAGAGAATGTTCTATAAATTTAGCCAAAGGAAAAAACCTTCAAGCTTCATTGCATGAAGTATCATCAAATCATAAAGTTGGATATTGATATTTTCCAGGATAGGCAGCATCCTTATAACAAGTCAGTACTGCAGACTAGCCCCATAAGTGTCCCAAATGGCACAGGGAACAGGATGACATTTAGGATGCAGCCCCCACCTCATCACACATTGTTTATTTCAGAGATCGAAACTTCAGATTGAATATGACAGAAATAATATCAGTGATGAAAACATTAAACTGAAGCAGCTGTTCACTTTAAACTCTCCTCACTTTCAAAAGCCTGGGCAAACGTTCAAAATCTGTCTGGGAGAGAGAGAACGTTATCCCGAGAATCTGTTTATATATACAGGCGGTTGGGAAATGGCATCCTCACAGTGAACAGAAGTCGCTGACTACAGCCATTCGTAACGTCAAAGTCAGTGTTTTAAGGAGGAAATGGCATTCCTTCCATTAGCACTTTAGGATGTTTTAATAACTTCTTCACCGCAACCATCTTGACTTGGAATAACATCATTCTCTCGACTGTCAACTTTGATAGAACATTAACTTACAGGAAAAACAGAAACTGTATGTCTAATGAAAAACAAATATCGAAACTCCATTCAACTCCATTATAACACATGAACATATACAGTACTGTTAACTACCCAATACAGTATATCAACATGATATTCAATCTTAAGATACTAAAGGGAGAATGAGAATCATTTCCTTCCGTTCAAGCTCTGAACAGTCTATCATCTTGTCATAAATCAATCAGTCCCTTGGGACTGGGCCTAAACACTACAAATCAATGGGGGAAACATTTTGGCTCAGGCTGGGTAGTGGCTGCATCCCAAATGGTACCCTATATATACTCTTTCTAGTGCACTACTTTTGAATACTACTTTACTACTTTTTATAGTGCACTATTATAGGATGCCATTTGGGACGCATCCAGTGTGATTCTGACAGTGAGGGGCTTGCGGTGAGACTTAAAGCTATCCCATGGGGCCGCGTGCTGACACAGACTCTTTTACCCCAAGCTGCAACTCTTCCAGGCTGTTAGTTCTGCGTAGGGCTGGGGCGTGGAGCACAGGAAAGGAGGAGGAGAGGAAGAGAGGAGCAGTGGAGTGTGAAAACACAAGGAGAGAGTAATAAAGCAGGTCTGATCGGTTGGCTTGTTTCTCTAGACGGCAGGTACAGCCATAATGTGTACCTTTCAAAGGCTAATGGTGAAAAATAAGGGTCTGGCTATGGCTAGGGAGGTTACCTCAGGATTTGTCTCTTTCTAGGTCAAGCACAGCAGAGGAGATTATAAAGTGGGCATTTCAACAGATGGTTTTCACTGCTTCAGTTTAAAGGAGCAATCTGGGATTGGTACATCAACAAAAGGTGTTGTTTGAATCCCAGATTGCCCCTTTAAGTGGAAAAGTTTACCTTCATTTTTCAATGAGGAAATTCTTAGAAAGCATTGTAAAGTGGTGCTTGATCAGCTTAATGGGGATACAAGCAAAACCATCATTTTCTGTACATCTGTTCATAGAGTCTTGAGACGGGTGATACTTCAGGCCAAATCACGCAGGCATTGAAAAGACAATATGTTTTGAAATGTTGGGAAAGCAGGAGAAAAGTTTACTCATACCAGCTCGCTCAATAATATCTACAATCTCCAAGTTGTGGCAGTCGTGAAAAGCGTCCAACAACCGTATACCATTCTTACTGTCTTATGTGTCCTCACTCGCCAAATGAAAGTACATGGGTGTGACTCTAACATGACGTTCACTCCGCTTTGCTCCCACACAGAAGTGTTTCCTATCACATGGTGTTTTGGTCTGTAAATCACTGTCACCCAGTGTGAACAGATAAAGATAGTGAACTGATAACATGCATAGGATACGTATTCACATGGAGATTTCCACCTACACAACTAACAGTAAACTCTGTCTAGACCAAGACTGAAACACAGCTTCTATCTCCAGGCCATCAGACTGTTGAATAGTCATCACTAGCAGGCTACCTGCCCGGTAATATGCCCTGAACCTTGAAACAAATGCGCCATGTATTTAGAGTCATTGAACGCTGGTCACCTCATATTCTGTTTATATACTGTTGTTTACTCACTGTGTATGTATATACTGTACTCTCAACACAGCTCGTCCTAATATACCTGCTACTGTCCATACCATTTTCTTTTCCAAATTATATAATGTCTATCTATACACACCACATATTTATCTGGGGACTTGCTTCCATTCAGCCTCAAGAGCATTAGTGAGGTCGGGCACTGATGTTGGGCGATTAGGCCTGGCTCGCAGTCGGCGTTCCAATTCATCCCAAAGGTGTTCGATGGGGTTGAAGTCAGGGCTCTGTGCAGGCCAGTCAAGTTCTTCCACATCGATCTCGACAAACCATTTCTGTATGGACCTCGCTTTGTGCACGAGGGCATTGTCATGCTGAAACAGGAAAGGGCCTTCCCCAAACTGTTGCCACAAAGTTGGAAGCACAGAATCGTCTAGAACGTCATTGTATGCTGTAGCGTTAAGATTTCCCTTTACTGGGCCTAGCCCGAACCATGAAAAACAGCCCCAGACCATTATTCCTCATCCACCAAACTTTACAGTTGGCACTATGTATTTGGGCAGGTAGCGTTCTCCTGGCATCCGCCAAACCCAGATTGCTCCGTCGGACTGCCAGATGGTGAAGCGTGATTCATCACTCCAGAGAACACTGCTCCAGGGGCAGCTCTAGCAGGACAGAAATGAGACGAACTGACTTGTTGGAAAGGTGCATCCTATGACAGTGCCACATTGAAAGTCACTGAGCTCTTCAGTAAGGCCATTCTACTGCCAATGTTTGTCTATGGAGATTGCATTGCTGTGTGCTCGATTTTATACACCTGTCAGCAACGGGTGTGGCTGAAATAGCCGAATCCACTAATTTGAAGGGGTGTCAACATACTTTTGTATACATAGTTTATTTATTTTCTGGATTCTCACACATGCTCACTCTAATATATCTACATAGATTGTTATTTCTTGATTTAAAAAAAATAAAAATTATATGCGTATTTGTATTGTATTTGCGAGACATTAATTCGCTGCACCTGCTATAACACCTGCAAATCTGTGTACGCGACCAATACACTTTGATTTGAGATCAGTTAAGCACTGTGAATGGGTGTAATGTAGCTAGGAACATACCAGCAAGCACTGCCACGGGACAGCTAATGAAAGATATCCCGCCAGCCTAACCCCTTCTCTAGTTGAGTGTTGCAGCATGGCTGACGTACTTACAGGCCTATTTTTAACCCTCAAACTGTTTCTAACTCACTAAGCTACTGTATCTACACAGAATGCTACATAAACTTTAAATCAGCCAATTCCCTGCAGATTCTCTTACAGTTTCAGGTTCCTTACCTTCCACAAGACTTGAACATTCTAGAATAGAATAGAATACATCCTCCTCTCCTATCTCTTCAATTCCTCCTCTCCCTCCTTCCATTTTATCCCAGGAGTAACAAACTGGGAGTGAGGAAAACGGGTCGGGAGAAAAAGAGGAACAACACGGGCAACTGTTGACTTCCAAATAGTTCCAAACTGTTGACTTCCAGACAGGGCTCACATGAAAAAGGGGCTTGAGATCCGCCCAGAGCCAGAAGGGTGACCAATTGGGATTTAGAAAACAAACTACATTCCAGGACACAGGACGAACAGCAAGCACCTCTTCTCTGCCTCAGGCCAACTACTCACTGACTGACTGACTGACTGCCTGAGGTTGTGTAAGGTTGGGTGTGTGTGCATGTGTATGTTAGAGGGAGAGAGTAAACATGTGTGTAAGTTGCCTCCTCTCTATAGCTTTCTAAAAGAGGTTACTGACATCGTTCAGATAGAGAGTGGGCCCCAGACCAACAGGTGTCTGACCCACTCTCTCACACACACACACACACACACACACACACATACACACACACACACACACACACACACACACACACACACACACACACACACACACACACACACACACACACACGCACTGCACTCTCTGGTCTTTGTCAGTACAGTATATTTCATATGAGCTGAACTCCTACTAAGCCATTCCTTCTGATCTGACCTCATAGCCCTCACATAGACAGGCTTGTGTCCAAAGTAGTGCTCTCTAAAGGGAATATGGTGCCTTTAGATGCAACCAGGCATGTGTCCAATGTGTCATAACCTACTTCTGGACTATGGCCAGTTTATATTCATCACACAATGCTCTCAACTTATCTTTGCTCAGCTGCTTATTAAGTGATCAGCTGCCATGAAAGTTGTTTTGTGAGTAACATATGCATAACATAACAAAAGCTGACCTGCTCTATCATAAGGGTTATGGAAATAAAAAATAATCATCTCCATATTTATATTGGTCTAAATGTGTGACTGTACTATTGACTTAAAACATATGTTTGCTGTACATGACTGCAAACATATGCCAGACATGTTGGAACTTGAGTGTGTGTGCGCATGTGGGTGGGTGTATCTGTGTCTCTGTGTGTCGAACAGGAACCGATTACGTGTTCGGCATCTAACATTTTGTATTTCCTCCCCAGTTTCAATATCTTTAAAGCAAACGTGAAGAGATCAATGTGCAGTTTGTGGACCGTGTAATTGAAAGTGGAGGGGTCAGCACATGACCAAACATAGTTGAGTCAGAAGAAACATAATGTCAAACATATGGAGAGAAGTGGAACACCCACCCACATACCCCCAAACAGCCATCAAACCATTGAACCAGAATCCCTATAGCCTAGTATAAACATGGCACGTCGCTACCCCTGAACCAGTCAGTTTTCGCTTCTTAAATTCCAAACACTCAACCAAGTGTGTTTTGTTAGCCAGATAAAAAAACACCCAGCAAGAGGTGGCGAAATATACAGACCAGTTAGACAAAATCCACATAGTATATAATATACATTGGTCACCTAAACCACCCAACCAGTCAGTTTTCGCTACTCAAATTCCAAACAATAAAATCTGCTCTACAACCCTACACTATACTCACTCACTCAAACAGCCGCTAGTGTGAACACCCAGACAGAAAATGATCATATACTCTGAGAAAGCCTCGAGAGGTAACGAAAAGTGCAAAGTGTTGATATGGAATCTAAAGAATTTCCTCTCTCCCATTTGCCAGTGTTAAGTAAATGATAGTCAAAAGATGACATGCAACACTTCTGCAGGGTGACACTGTGATACTTGTCCAGTGCGCTGTTGTCTCCAGTTACTCCATGTTAATCTGGTCCCAAATGGCACCATACTCCCTATATGGTTTGACCAGGGCCCATAGGGCTCTGGCTAAAAGTAGTGAACTATATAGGGAATATGGTGCCATTTGGGACGTATCCTTAGTCATTTATGGAGGAATGTATCAGGCACTACTCCCACTCTCCTGGTATGACTTCCGCATAAGCACGAAGTGAAACAAAGAGCTGCAATGTACTACAACAGCAAAGTCCACACAGTGCATAACTATGACCACAACAGTCTACAAACATGTACTCCCCTGTTGATATGGGATAAACCATATCCATTCTTCTGTGTTGAAAATGTTCAACGTAAGAGCTGGAATATCAGATTAATTTTGAAACCCAATCTGAAGGTATATATGTGGATGTTTTTGTATATACCCTTTGGAAGGGAATTCTGTTGAAGACTACCCTCTGATGGACACATGCACGCTAGTGTGCTCACCCACATGTGATCCATATGAGCCATGTTTCACTCCCTTGCCTGTTGCAATAGACTCACTCCCTTAGCACATAAAGGTTATTTGTATTCTCTGGACTTATTTCAGACCATCTGATTCCTGTCATGTCCTTCACTAGAACTCATTACCTTCCTCATACCCATCAGCAGCCTGTAAAAGGTAGTCTGCCAACCCGTCAGGGCTCTGAACAAGATGGGCAGTAGGCTATGGGTGTGTCCCAAATGGCACCCTATTCCCTACATAGTGCACTCCCTTTGCACATAGGCTTTGATGAAAAGTAGTGCACTAAAAAGGGAATAGGGTGCCATTTGGCCATGTCGAGACTTGACAGTTCATGCAGCTTTTGTATTCTGATCAAGGAGTTCTGATCATGGAATTCCGAACACGTAATTTGTCTACACTTACATATACCGTGTCCACATTGTGTCCGGATTTCCTTTTCCCGCTCTTTATTACAATGCCAGTATGCATTCTGCAAATGGTGGAACAGGCTAAATCTGATAATAACACAACAACAACTTGACGACAGTACCAACTACTGTAGTAACTAGCCAGCTAACTTCTGTAACTAGCCAGCTTGCTAGCAAAGCTAAACTTTAGCCAAACATTTTTTTTTTAAATAAGCTAGCTGGCTAGTATTTATGAAGCCAGCAAACACATTCCTCAATGTGATCTTCGTATTCTGATAGCAGAAGTCACATGTAAGTGTCAAGTGTAGACAGCCTCAGAGACACAGACACAGACACATAGTCTCCCGAGTGGCGCAGTGGTCTAAGGCACTGCATCGCAGTGCTAGCTGTGCCACTAGAGATCCTGGTTCGAATCCAGGCTCTGTCGTAGCCGGCCGCGACCGGGAGACCCATGGGGCACAATTGGCCCAGCGTTGTCCAGGGTAGGGGAGGGAATGGCCGGCAGGGGATGTAGCTCAGTTGGTAGGGCATGGCGTTTGCAACGCCAGGGTTGTGGGTTCGATAAAATAATGTATGTCGCTCTGGATAAGAGCATCTACTAAAATGTAAATGTTTTACATTGAGAGGACACTGATTGCTGATCTATCTGATATTTTCCATGCTGGTACTGTCAGCTCAGTGAAAAGCACCTATTAATGCGGCCTGGTCACATTTTTCACACACAACCTGACACACAGACAGGAAACATTTGGCCCTCAACGTCTGGCCCGTGAGTATTTCTTTCACTTTGTGTGAACACTTCATGTTCATGTCGTAAAAAGATTTCCGTACATGTTGACACTTCCAGCTTTTACACACATTAACTAGGACCTATGTGTTCCCCTTGAGTATTTGTACACTCTCAGAAAAAAAAAGTTAGTACCAAAACAGGGCAAGTAAGTATACTAAACAAAAATATAAACGCAACATGCAACAATTTTACTGAGTTACAGTTCATATAAGGAAATCAGTCAATTGAAATAAATTAATGGCTTTCACATGACTTGGCAGGGGCGCTGCCATGGGTGGGCCTGGGAGGGCATAGGCCCACCCACTGGGGAGCCAGGCCCAGCCAATCAGAATGAGTTTTTCCCCACAAAAGGGCTTCATTACAGACAGAAATACTCCTCAGTTTCATCAGGATGGATTATCTTGGCAAAGGAGAAATGCTCACTGACAGGGATGTTAACAAATGTGTGCACAAAATTGAAGAGAAATAAGCTTTTTGTGCGTATGGAACATTTCTGGGATCTGTTATTTTAGCTCATGAAACATGGGACCAACCCTTTACATGTTGTGTTTATATTTTTGTTCAGTATAGTTTCCCTGGAGGCTTTCAGCTTTTTGACATAAGATAAGAAATACTTTATTAATTCCAACACTGTAAACATTTTTTTATTACATTTATTCAACAAACAATTGTATGGAAACCAGCTGAATTTGTCATTTAATTTCAAAATGACACAATACATTATTTACCATTCATTTATTTTCGGCCCAAAATAATCTGAAACACAATCAAAACAAACAGCAAATGCATCCAACACTTTTTCATTGTGTCATTGTAGTCATTGCGTGCTATGAATAGGAGACCAAATACTTAACTTTTTACTACTTTAATATACATATACTGTAAGTGAATTTGTCCGAATACTTTTGGGGGGACTATGTCATTTCTAGTTCAACCGATATGGATGAAAATACCCTAAAATGAAAGCTGACAGTCTGCACTTTGACGTCACAGTCATTGTATTATTTCAAATCCAAAGTGCTGGAGTATAGAGCCTAAACAACAACAAATGTGTCACTGTCCCAATACTTTTTTACAGCTTTTTGACATAAGGTAAGAAATACTATATTAATCCCCACAATGTAAAAAAATATATATGTTGATTCAACAAACAATTTTACGGCAACCAGCTGCAATAGGATTGTGAGTTTGCGCAACATTTGGCCAATTTTATGTTTGGCTTCCAAATTTGTAATTGTACTCAACAAGCTTTTTCTAATTCAGCTCACTTCGAGCAGAGTTTGTTGAGTAAACAAACTAACACATTAGCTCAAATTCTTGTCCATTTGAAGTCCACTCAACTCACAGAATAACATTGATTTTTTTTTTTTACAGTGCAGGGTGAAACTGGTTTGTCAATCATCATTTCAACATGCATACGGTACACAGTCCCAAGAACAATTAACAATAAAGTACTAAAAAACAGATAGCAAGAACATCATAACAGAAAACATGTTCACTCACATATTATTCTTCCAAAATAGTTAGTTGGAACCTCGTTAGTAAAATCTTTCAACTGGTTGCCAAAGAAAACTGTATCCAGTCACAAAGTTATCTAATCATGTGGGAGCTGACCTCTGACCTCTAGTCCTGGACAGACTAATCTCTGCTCTGTTTTGATTTAAGACGGTCCAGTGGTTGGTTGGCACCTCCCACTGAGCTCAATAGAACTCCCATTGACTTCATTCACAGATGAACATCCTCTTACCCCTCATCACTCTATGACTGAAGATAAAACCCCTCCTAACTGAGACCAAAGATAAAGAACTCCTAACTTTAAGACTGAAGTTAAACAATCACTCCTAACTTTAAGACTACATTTATAATGCTATTACAGCACTATTACAACGCTATATGAGGCGATAATGCTCAAGAGCTGATATCATCTCCTGTGGCCTCCATATGTGTCTACTAAGACACATCTTGAATAATCAATGATGCAAGTATCCAGAAGTGGTGGGAGGCCAGATTTTTGACATGCTGCCTCTATCCCCCGACACCTCTCCCACTTCCTCCCTCCCTGTCTTGCTCTTCCTCTGTCTCCAGTGTGTGTTTATGTGACGCATGTTTTTGGCAACCCAATGGACAGACTGTGCTCTGTACTAAACACTTGTGGAGGTCTGAATGGAGCTATGGCTGTGCTATCTCCCTCTCATTAGCTGTATAATCCCACATCTCATCTCTGGCTGCATCTGCAGTCTTCATTAAAACTTAGCCGAGCCAGAACAGCCCATGGGGGCAGGAGGCCAGGAGCCTCTCCAGCTTGATGTACAAGTACAGTACACCCCCTGGACAGGAAACTTGTCTGAGACACATGTACCAGTCTCCAAATAGGGTAGCTAGAAACAAAAGCCAATTCATTAGCACATTGGAGGAGTCCAGAACCCCAAAATTGGATCTACAGTGGCCC